TAACAACCCTGCCAGTAAGATAAGCAAAAAAGTTAAATACCTGTGTCATTGTCAAATCCTACTCCAACACAAATAAAATTCAATGATTGCTAATTGGAGGTTGAGCAGTTCTATCAGACACTAATTACTTCTCTAGGTAGCATATCTTACAAATGATGAGTTATTGAAGACCTAACATGAACTTATTCGGGCATAGTTAACTATCAAAGCTCCATTCCCTTTAAATGACCTAAAATTTGCAATTCACCTGAAGTGGGCCCTTCAGCACAATAAATATTTTCTTACTTTCCAATTTCCCAATAGGCAATAACATAGCACATAAATTCGAGGAATGGCAACCTAAATTGCATTTTAGACTAACAGCAGAAACACCAACCACTGAGGAAGCTTCCACAATTTCATCGTGCAGTCTTCGCTATATGTCGCGACAAGGTTTCTGTGGGAGTGATGTGTGATACCAATTACATCCTTCTCATGGACCTGCCAAATTATTAAGAAATAATAAGAGCACTTTCAGGCCAGAAATATTGGATTTCTGCAAAAATTATAACCATAGCTTTACAAAAATGACAAAGACCCGAAGCAAGGTCAATTGACAAGATCATGAAAGAAAAATACAAAAAAGGATAGAACTCAATTCCCCTAAAGCTACTGACATAAAGAAATGACATGAGACATTCTAAACATCACTAGAGGTCCCATTCATCAAGAGGCAGCATTGGAGCTTAACTAAACCCAGCTTAAAAACAAACATGGAGCTCTCTTGAGATAGTTCAGTGAAAGTTTGCTCTGTTTCCAGTTTTAGTAAAGCATCTTGAGGTGGAGATTTAGCCTTTGGTCTACAGAATATAAGTACATTTGAGTGGTAGACTACTAAAAGGAACAATCAACCAAAAGAAATTGAGTCCAGCATGAAGACAAATTATATACCTAATAAGCACGGTCAACCCTTTAATAATTAGCTAATAAGTTCATAAACTTCAATAATTAATAAGTTTTAAATTTGGTATTTTGGTGGACGATTAATAATTCAATTTCTAAGAGAATAATTTGTGTTGATAGACTGTTAGTGAAGCAAAAAGACAAAAGTTTGATTTTCAAGATAATTTTTACACATTTCTAAACACTTTTACATATTTCTATACACTTTTACCAATTTCAATACACTTTTTACGCATCTACCAACATTAATGACAACCCTATGGGCAGTCGTTAGCATTTTCCATTAATTATTTGTATAACCAAAATGTATACCACTATAAAGATGTATATGAAGATTTTTACTGTGTTTTCCAACAGGACACCTAGCCATTGAACCATTTCTACATCTAAAAGTATATTGAGATTGTATCAATCCTCTAATGTTATTAATATGAGTGTAGCCATCTCACACCACAAAGAATTAGTTTCCTAGATTGAAGTCCATTTTCCTTTTTTTTTTTGAACAGCAAAGATAAAGATTTATTGATGATAAAGCAAAAAACATGCAAAATTACATCAACAAATCGGAAAGTGCACAAAGATTGGTGAGAAGTCAATCAAGAGCAACCAAAAGATGAAAAATAGAACAATAACACAGCAAAAACAGCTTCGAACAGTAGGCCAAACAGAACAACTTCAAAGCAGAACAGAAACAACTTATGCATACCCTGTTATAAAGGAGCTTATGCACCATCGCCCCTTGGTAGAAGCCGCTGCACAAAATCTGTCATTGAGGGTGGGACAACTCTGTCATTCATACCCTGTTCAGTACAAGAAAATTCAGAGGAAGGGGAAAAAAAAGGTCAGCATAAGTGAATCTATATGATTTAGATTGGTAATCCTTCTGAAAAACAAATGCAACACAAATAATACAGAATCCTGCTTCTCCTAATTCCAAAGTGACTATTGCAGACCAATGTTCAACATAATCAAGACATGAACTAACTTACAAACCCTAGACCAGTGTAAAAGCCTAAAGAAGTCTAGTTTTACAAAAATTTCAGTGGTACAATATTTGCATGCATAACAAGAACCACACCATCAAATTACATTATAACAAGGCACAATAATAATCAGATTCAAATGATTGGATTTGACAACTTACATGAAGTGTGACAATTGCATTTGGATTTTTCTCCACTGCATAAACTCTCAACTTCCGTCCAGTTTCTTCAGCTGTCTATTATGAAGATAAGAAAAGCAAAATATGGTTTTTAACAAAAAAGATCAAAGTGGCAATAAAATCAAGCAGCCCCTTTCAGAAACATAAGCCACAACTAATATGAAAAAACTATAAAGCAAAGTAGTGCAAGCACGACTCCCAAGGAATTGAGCATTGATGTATGTACACTATTTATGACATCCTAGATGTTTAAAATAGTTTCTTTTATATACATCTATGAGTGTGTATATATAACCAAAAACTTTTCTAACACAGGTCGAACACGTAAATATCGACATCTCTCTTGATTTTCCATTTCAGGGAAGTCAACATTTTGGCATTTAGCATTTATGTAATATGTCAAATCCAAATTTTGTGTTTGCATCCATGTTCATCTCCACGCAACATAGACATAAGAGTAGACCTGCAACGATGCTCTAACAAGAGGTCCACGTCCAGCTCCCACAACCATCAGTACCTACAACACGAGAACAGAAGTGTCATGACCTTCACTGTCAAACTGCAACACATGCCATAATTGCTGATAAGATATTAAGGCAACGAGAATGAACTCAGCTATACTTTATTCCGCCACATATATCTGAGATATAATACCAGGGATTATCACACAACTTACAGTGATTATCATAGATGCTTCTTCATCTGGGACGCTGTCCATCAAAGCTTTAGAGACTGCTCTTTGATACTACCAAAATACAAGTACAAGATCAATATTAAAAAAAAAAAAACACACAAAACACAAAACTATTGACAGTAGAAAATAGTTGCCCTTTACCACTACAGCAAAACAGTATCTAAGCCATAAAATATTAAAAAACGTGAGCAATATGGAAACAAATAGCCATTAGAAATTAAAAATAAGCATAAAATTTAGGCAGTAATTTTACTTGATTAAATACATATATGCACACTGAACACTACGCCATGACTTCCACCTAAGAAAAATCTAATTTGATTTAGATGAGATATAAATTATCTAGATTCTAGATTAATCATAAGGCATACCTGGATATATTTGGCACTATCCTTCTCAAATGTTTCGTATGTTTGGGCCTCTAAATTATCCATGAGAGGCCGCATTCAGAAGTAGGAAACTCAACATGTAATTATAACAACAGTGAGGGAAGCGTCACAATGGATAGGAATGAAAAGTTCATCATACTAAAAAAGTTGCGAATTAAACCATGAGTTTACATAATAAAACATACTTGCAAGGGCGACTGTAAGAAATCCCTGTAACCAAGCTGCCATAAGAGAAGAAGATCAATAGAAAGATAATATAAAACTCCCTAACCAGTTTGAACCAAGAAGAAAGGAGAGAAAGGCTACCTCAAAACGTTCTTGTTCAGGAAGAGGATCCATCCTTTGATATAGATAAGCAACATAGTCTAAATATGGCCGTAAGGGATGTCTCTGAAGACCTGAATGAAAAACAAATAAATAAAACCTATGAACTATAAATATACAACACAAACTCATTAAAATAGATCAATCAGCAATAAAAAAAAAAAAATTAGGCTATCCATACACTTGCATTTTGTGTATAATATGACTATATATATGAAAGCGATACGGATTAGAAAACTCTTGACCTTCAATTTAACTGAAATTTGGCAAGATTGAAAGGTAAAAGATAAGCGTGAAATACAACGGTAGGATTTGTGAAAGTTTACACACAAGTTAACAGAGGGGTGTAAATAAAAATTTTACACTAGGTGGAAACAGATACATCTCCTATATATAAATTAATGTTTATATATACTCACAAAACATTAAGGGCAATGGACAACTGACTGTGATGTTCACATAGAAGACGGAAGGAATTCCATGTTTCCCAAGAATCGACCTATCCTCCACTCTGTTAGGCAAAAATAGAAGGGCTTGTAAAGATAAAACTGATATTTATTACATAGTTATCACAACAATTTCTAATCTACACATGCTTCACACCATACCACTTAAAAGTTCTTTCAATGGATTAATTAGAAAAATACTAATCAGAGAAACAGGAGAAAAGCGAGGGCAGATTTTGATCAATTAATCACAGGCTCGGAAAATTAAAGTTCAGAAATTGATCATTCTATTTGAGAAACCGTGAACCAACACAAGACAGAAAATCTTGTTAGGCAAAAAAAAAAACACACTTCAGGATTCAAAAATTAATTGGACAGGAGCAGAGAAACTACAAATGATCCATCCATAAGAGAGAGGCATAACCCCAAGATGACAGGAAGCAATTCCATGACAAAATAACTTTCCATTTGCATATGCTAAGTTCAAACAAATCAGAAAATTAAAACGCATGCACTCCAGCTCTCCACCCCTAATAAGCAAGATCAACTTTGGGTAGTGGCATATTTCACATACAGCAAGTTCAAACTTTAATATGGAAATAAATAATAAGAACGAAGACTACACAAAAGGAGAAACAATGTAAGACATGAGGCAAGACTCAAATAGTGGATGCGTGATATATGGTTTAAGATTAGCACCTGCATGTTGGTCAGATTCTGTAGAATCTGATTCACGCATCTAGCATTATTAGCACAGGATGCTCCTTTAGGAGTAGGAAGAAGACAAGCCTGCAGGAGAAATGCAAATAGTGAAAACAATAAGCTTCTTATGCAACGATTGGAAGACTTTGTAGACACCCCATTTTTGACAGCCCATAAGACTTGGGCGTTACTGATGGTTTACTTGGTAGAGAAAGGTGTGCAGGGCAAAGGTTCAGTTTCTTCGGCAAGAAGAGACACAAATCCCAACTTCACACCCCATTTTAGACCAGAGCTATTTTGAATGGTTTTTAGACCTTAAAACCCTCTCTTTTGAAACATTTTTGAAATAAAATTTCTACGATGTTCCGAGGCTCACATTTTGTCAAAAAATACGCTTTTCGATAAACCGAGCAAGGACAAGGTGGAAATGAATGAAAGAGAGATGAAATCTTTGAAAAATCTTTCAAAACACCTTGCTTAGGGGTTTGAAGTTGAAGAAAAGAGGAGAAGAGGGGAGAAGCCAAGTTGGAGAAGAAGATAGGCAAGAATCGCTAGGAGTGGGACGGGCAGTCCTCACTAAATCAAGCTTATCAGTCTATACACTTGGAGTTAATCTATGAGGCCACCACCGTTGGAAAGAAGACTTCCGGGGCTTCATTTTTCATTCAAGAATCTCTTAAATCCGAGTCCGGAGGGCGGAGATATGATTGGTTGAAGTTGGGCATCATCCCGGTTGGACCGAAACTGAGCAGCCTTCACCAAAATAAGCATAACTTTTTGTACAGTTGGAATGTTGATGCAAGGCGGGTTCCATTGGAAAGCTTACTTCCGGGGCTTCAATTTAGACACAAGATTGACCTAAAAAGGAGTTCATATGAAGAAGTTATGCCCGTTTGAAGTTGGACCTGCAGAGCAGATTTTTCCTGCCGGCCGGCCAAACATTATGCCGACCGGCCAGAACAGATGGCCGACCGGCCAAATAGATTGCCGACCGGCAGATTAAAGTAGCCGACTGACCTTTTTTGCTAGCCGATGACCTTCCGGAGTATTCTACAGATTGAATGGATGCTAGCTGTGGCAGCTAGAATGCACAGACCCTGCTCCCCATGCACATGTATGGCTGTTTTGCACCCTTTGCACACCCTTTGAACCCCCTAACCTTCTAGAAGCTTGAACCCTTTGGCCAAGCTTCTTGGAGAAGCTTGGCCAGCTGTTTTAGCTTCCTCTAGAAGCCTTGCACCCCCCCTTGAACCCCTTTGACCCCTTTCCCTTTACTTAGCTTGTAAGTTAAGTGCTTCCCTTGCCTTATATAAGCACCATTCCTCTCCCTTTGTCTAGGTTGGATGGTTTTGAAGCAAAAAACCAGAGATATACCAGATATATCTGATATACATACATACAACCCTCAATCTCTCTCCGTATCTCTCTCATTCAATCATCAAATACCCTTGTTCTTGGGCCATTTCTTCACCAACCTATAGCACCACACCCCCACACTTCATTCCAGCACATTGGAGGTCATTTGCAGAGGCTAGGAGCACCCAAACTTCAACCAAAAGCTGCTGGTTCATTGGTCTACAAAGGTGAGTCCTCTTCTTCCCTTTTCTAGCCTATTCTTGTATCATATCTAAGCCATAGTTTCTGGTATATCTGAGCTCCGGCCAAAACTGAAAGTAGCCTTTTTTTGAGCTGTATTTCATCTTTCAGTAAGGGTCTTACCCTGTTTGAGCCCCCCATCTTGCACTTGCTTCAATATCTACTTGTATGTCAATATTCTTGCATGCTTCACTAGCCTATCATTTTTATATTTTTGGACCATGATCAGAACTGAAAGTGGCATTATTTTGACCTTCTTAACATGTTTTATTAAGGGTCTTTGCTTGTTTGGTGAATGCCTTGTATACCTCATGTTATGGCCACTTTTGAGCCTCATTTTGCATTGCATTTCTAGCATGTTTGTATACTGATTTCGGGGCTGCCATGAACTGTAAATGTGCATATTTTTGGTCCCTCTTCAATGTTGTAGAAGGGAATTTTTCAGTTTGGGCTTTGCATATACCACTTGCTTCTTTGGCCACCTTTTGGCCCATTTTCTTGCATCAGAGCTTAGCCATATCTATGTTTGTTTTTGGGGTTTTTACAGTTCTGTAAAGTGGCTTATTTTGGGCCCCTCTTCAATGTTATTGAAGGGCCCTAACATGTTTGGGGTCAGCAGCTGTGAGTTGCTTCATAATCTCATGTTTAGGGCCGTTTTTGTATGCCATTTTAGCCCTATCTTTGCTTGCCGTTTGGCCATGTCATAAACTGTAAAAATGTTTGTCTCAGAGCTGTCTTGCTTCTGTCTTCATGCTCCATGTCCATATTGTGGATGCTTTGTATAGCAGTAAGCCATTTCATGTGCCTAATCTCGCATTTCGGGATTTATTCCATGCGTTGAGTGTCGTTTCGTTATGTTTCGGGGCTGTTTTGCATCACCTATCGCCTCTGAAATTTGCATGCCGGGAGGAATTCCATGCATCGGGCGTACTTTCGCCTCATTTCGGGGCTGTTTTGCCCCTCATTTTGCTGCTGAAATCCCATTGGCATGTTTGCATATCATTTCCATGCCATTGCATTGTGTATGCCATTGCCTCGGTTTGCGTGCCCGTGTGCACGCGTTTCGAGGCACTTCATTTTCATATTATGGCCACTGTTTTGGGCCTGACTAGAGCTGCCTAATTCATGTTTAAGACCATCCTTTGCTTATTTGCATGCTCACCTTGCATGTTTGCTTGTATCGGCATGTTGCATCCTTAGCTCGTATGCCTAAGTTGCATTGCATCTTGCATGCATCACCTTGCTTCTTGAGATGAGTATGATAGAGGTTAGGCCTCCTTGTGTGTTTTTTTGGCTTGCATACATTTTGTAATTGAAGTTGCACACTTGATTCTTTGGGCCATCATGCATGGAAATGCGTGATTGGTGGTCCGAGAATCGGGGCACATCCTCCTTTGAGTCATTAACATGATAAGGAATGTGATTGGTGCATAAATTGCTTGAATTGCATTGCCATGCAAGATTTTGTCCTCTGCTGCTGTGAGTTGCAGGTTCTGCAGAAATTTATTGCCGGCCGGCAGTATTTCGTGCCGACCGGCAGTCAATTGATGGCCGGTGGATCTATTTTGTGCCGGTGACTAAATGCTACTGCCGGTGGAAATTCTGCTCAGCCGATGATATCCCCCAGTGTCCTGAGAGGCATCCCTGAGACTTTGGCAGTTTTCAGAGGAGCATAGCAGGGAAAACAGAGGCAAACTATGCATGGCAGTGTGATTCCAAGCCAGTCCCGAGCATGTGTTGCATCTGGCCCTCGCCCCGAGGCGGTTTACTGTTTTTCTTGAGTTTAGTTAATTTGTTAATTAATTAAGCAATTTGTAATATTTAATTAGCTTGCGTAGTTAATTAATTTGTATTATTATTTTGGTTCCTCCGAGTGAGGGCATATTTGTAATAAGTGTGCGTGCGTGTGATGTATGTCTTCCAACCCCACTTCTTTCTTCCCTTTTTTTTACCTGCTTATGATGGTCGATTAGGGCACATTCATTTCAGCATACCTTATGCTATGCATGCGTGCATTCATGCATTTGTTGACATGCATCAGGCTCGGCACATCATGCTAACTGCATTTGTGCTTTAATTTAAAATTGAATACGTGCATCAATTGATTGCATCTCACATGCCATGCTTAGGTTAGTCGAGCCTACTTCAATTGCATCCCGTATGCGTTGCATTAGTCAATCTAACATGAACTAGGACATGCTTGTTTGCTAACTAGTTTATTGTTTTGGCACGGAGTACGATGTAAGTGTTTATGTTTTAGCATCCCGCATGCGTGTGAGTGTTGCCATGACAGTATGCTTAACATGTGGCTAGATGCTTATGTGTTATAAATTGTTTGAATGCCGGTGGGTGAAGGTTGGATTGTTTGAGTTGAAAAAATTCGTTGAAATCCGTATTTTAGCCTACTTGCGAGTAGCAAATTCCAAAACATTTTCCCAAAACAAACGGATATGCGATGCTTATTTCCAAATTAGGCAATCTAGTTTATACTTATTTGCTGCGCGCATAACGTAGTAATTCTAGGCTAAAAATTGGAATAAGAACACATAACATTTTCAAAATCGGATATCATGGTTAGTAGAGGTCGGTCTTCGGACCGGGCGAAAGGGGGTGCTCATAGCTGACCTTCCCCGATCGTACCCAGCAAGATCAACTTTGGGTAGTGGCATATTTCACATACAGCAAGTTCAAACTTTAATATGGAAATAAATAATAAGAACGAAGACTACACAATAGGAGAGACAATGTAAGACATGAAGCAAGACTCAAATAGTGGATGCGTGATATATGGTTTAAGATTAGCACCTGCATGTTGGTCAGATTCTGTAGAATCTGATTCACACATCTAGCATAATTAGCACAGGATGCTCCTTTAGGAGTAGGAAGAAGACAAGCCTGCAGGAGAAATGCAAATAGTGAAAACAATAAGCTTCTTATGCAACGATTGGAAGACCTGCAGTGCAAGAACACAAAATAAAACACGTCATTTTTATCATACAAATTAAAATCATCATATAAGATGCAAAAAAACCTCCCATGAATTGTACTTGCTAATGTACCTGCCTAGAATAAAAGGCATTGATTGAATACAAATCAAAAGGAAAGTGAGTTGAGGAAATGACACTCAACACTGAGTATCTCATCTTCTGAATCCAGGTCAATCCATGAGCTAATTTTTCCTGGACCACATTACGAAAAATATTAACTGAGGAAATTAAACAGTGGTATAAAAATGCGTGCAAATGTAAACAAAAAGATACAAAAATAATAATAATAATTTAATCAATATCCATATGGTAATTTCATGATAAAGGTATCAGATTCTTGAAGATCAAAGGAACAATTGTCTCATGCCAACCAAGCCAAACCATGCAGTTAAATTTTTAAATCATCTTGTGACAACAGATTTTCAGGTCTGCAAAGACTACAAAATACATCAACAAGTTCATAAAAATAAGCTATCAAACAAATAAGTAGGGTGTGAACATAAAGAATGTGAACTCCACGAGAGAATAAAGAGGAACCAAAAGATGGCAGTGGCTATGTTGTAGAAAAAAGGAAAGAAAAGAAGACTTTACCAGCCACCCATCAAATCCCAAAGCAGTAGCTAGTTCAGTCAAGCGCTCAGCATACATGTGGGCAGACTCCTTCGTTGCTAGCAGTTTGTTGGCATTAACCTCCCATCTTCCCATTCTGTGATGAAAGTCCCCAATACCTTATGTTCCATGGGAAGAAACAGAAACATTATGTGCAACAATAACTGATAAAGGTTAATACCTTTTCTAATGCCTTTACATTTTTACGCCACTTCCTTCCCTTTGAGCCACTCTTTTCCTTCTGACGAAGCGCATCAGCTGCTTTCTTCAATTCTCTTGCCTTCTTACCTAGTTCAGTTGCTTCCTACAAATTATCGAGTCAATTGCCTATAATCAACTTGAACATGCAAATAACCATTACATTGATACAGAAGGCAGAAGTAGGTAATTTCATATGGATACATAAAGCACAATGCAAAAGGTACCTTAATATACTGTGAACGAGTGATAACAGTTTTTGGATGCCGAAAGAATGAAAAGTAAGTCCCAATGGCAGACAAGCAATGCCCACACTGCCAAATATCTAGGTAGGACAACAAGAGCTCAATAGTAAAATACAATATTCTTGGAAAACAGACATATTGTTAGTTCAATAGTATCCAGATCTAACAGGTCATTTTGAACCAGGGTAATTTAGGGTTTAAAACAGGGTAATAAAAAAACAGAGAGTGAAAAATAAAAAACACTGGTTGAAAAATTAGTTCTGGGGATCTGGGGAAAAATAAATGAGATGTGTAAAACACTGATTGATCAATCCAAACTGAACAATAAAAAACAGAGATTAAAATTCTTCAAAACATTGATTGAAAACCCTAAGAGAAGAATCGACGGGAAGGAAGAACTTGAGAGAGAGAGATAGGGAGAGAGAGAGAGAGAGAGAGAGAGATATAGAGCTTGAGATTTTCTGAAGCGATGGTGCTCACCTTGGTAGATGATGGTGCTCACTCTCCTTGCTGGACGAATCTGAGATTGAATCACCGAGCTTTGAAATCGAGAGAGAACTTCAAAATCGCCGAATGAATCTGAGATTGAATCACCGAGCTGAAGAAGGTTGAACTTCAAAACCAATCTGATCTAAGAATGATAAAGTAGACAAAACCTAGCATACCTGAATCGAATGATTTCAGTAAGTATCATCTTCAATCGAACTTGAATGTGAGAAGATAGAGATGATACTGATCAACACTTACCATGAAGAAAGACTTGCGAACTTGAACACGAACTCGGGATGGCACATTATGATCTGCGAATCGACGATCTACGAATACTTGAATCGAATAAACGAAGGGGTGAATCGAATACTTGAAGAGAAGGGTTGCAGATTAATCGATTAATAAATGAAGGGGTTTGAATCGAGAGAAACAAAAGGGTTTGAAGCAAGAGAGAGTGAAATCAAGGGTATAGTGAGAGCGAGAGAGAGAGAATAGGCTATTTACCTTAAAAAAAAAAAAAAAACTAAAAACATTTGAAGGCGCTTTCGGAAGTTAAAACGGTGTCGTATTAGTCAATAATAATGCGACGTTTGAAAAAACGCCGTAAAAAATTAAAAACAGAGGCATTTTTTTAAACGCCGTCAAATCAACGCCGTTAATTCTTACTTTTCTTGTAGTGTATGGTTTGAGGTGCTTAACTATTATGTCTTCAAGTTTAAGAAGGTAAAGTGCAAATATGTGATAATTTAAGGAGATTTACAATGATTTGTCCTTTTTGTTAAATTATTTCTCTCAACAAAGTCATGTAAACCAGGATCTTAGAAATACTCCCAATTGTACTCCTTTGACTATTTGATCACTGTCCACCATCCCCATATGACATCTTCCACGAATGCTATATGTATTTTATGACACATGGATTTATAATTATAAATAGAATACTTTTTTTTTTTTTGGATCGGTATGTTTTTTTTTTATTTCTAGATGGATTGGATCGGTATGTTAAGAATACCTTCTTGATAAAAGAAATAATGGTCATATGGAAGCTGCAAAATCGGAACTCATGAATTGTCGCCCTGTACCTAGTTGGAATGTGCCATGTAGAGATGAAGTTTCTTTCGTCAATCATAATTATTTCAATGTAATTTTTATTCTCCAGTTGATAGGATCTTTATTTGTCTAAAAATAAAATAATTAAACAAATTGAAAAATCTAAAAAATCGCTAGATATTGATTTGTGATTATATATCAATTTAAAGTAATAAAACAATCTCAATCAAACAATTAAGACAAATCAACACAACGACTTTGTTAGAAATTTGATGCCCATGTGGCATGACCCTTTGAACCTTTTGAACCTTATCCAAATAAGTTTGAATTTGAATTCAAAACCTATTTGGATAACCACTAAAGATATCTATATCTATCATATCAACTGATATGGATAGATGATATAAATATCTTATATATCTGATATGATATGGGATATGGTTAATCAGAAAAAACAACGTATGTTTTATGTTTTTCCCATATACTGACTCT